AAAATGACTTTAGATTTTAAAAACTTCAGTTGTTTAGTTTATATCTATAACCCTCAGGATAGATCCTAAAAGATAGCAGCATGAAAAGTGCACCTGACCATGAGTGCAGCAACCTGTTAAAATTCCAACTGGGTTTAAAAGTTAATACGAACAAGAGCAGTAGCAACAGTTACACCTGAACTTCACATACTGTTTCCTTTAACACTCATGTGTGACCTCACTGGTGGTGTAGTGGTAGTGCATCTGACTCCAGATCAGAAGGTTGCTTGTTCATTTAACACTTGCAATTTGATATGCTCTATTATTTAATCCCCATTTTTAAAATGGAGAAACTGATCTACAATATCCTTCTAGGGGCTGGAGAGATGCCACAGCAGTTAAGAGCAGTTGCTGCTCTTACAGAGGACTGGAGTTTGAGTCCCAGCACCCATATCAGTTGGCTCACAACTTTCTATTACTTCCAGCTCCAGGGGATCTGACACCCTCTTCCACAGGTACCCGCATTCACATAAAACCCCCACCACATATACACACATAATTAAAAAACAAGCCTTTAAAAATAAAATATCTTATATGTGAGTATGCATCCTGATGTAACTGTAGGAACCAGGATAATGAAAAGGAACCAGGGAGGTAAAGGGAAAGAAGGAACCTGAGAGAGAAGAACATTAAGAGACAGGTGTTGCCAAGGAAGAGTGGGATAAACAGTATTTAAATGGGAGGTGGGAGGGAATGTTATACAAGGAACTTTGGGGATAAAGGGAAAGAAGGAGCTCAAGACAGGTTGGGACCATAGGAGAAGGTTATTATCAAGGGAGAAATGGGGAAAATGGGGACACTTTAAATGGGGAGGGCATGGAGGGAGGGTTAGACAGGGAGCAAGCATAGATAAATAATGCCTAGCTAGTATAAAAAACCACAGGGAATCATATTAGTCCAACAACCTAAGGACAAATTACACACACATTATCTCTACATTAGTCCATGTGTATAACTAAAGGCTACATAACAAGAAACAGTACCAGACAGGAGAAACCTTCCTTTGAGTCATTGGCCAGGTTAGTCCAAGAGACTCCCAAAAACTACACAGGCTATTGCCACAGCCCTTGATTGCCTCCCAGGACTTGAAGGTAAGACCCTACTGCTGAAGACAGTATATACTTCAGACACAGGATTTGGAGCAATGAAGCTGGAGCTGACCTGAAACCACTGCCCCTGAAGGCTAGTGCTCATAGCTTGGGAGAGCACTATGCAAGGTGCTAAGGAAGAACATCAGTCGATGGTCCAACACCAGCTTCAAGACCGAATAACCACATCAATGACCAGCACAGCATGACACTGGTGCAGTAGTGGCACTTTTATCTTGGGGGCAATCAACAGCTATCTAATTGAACTAAAAGCCCACTCAATGGGAGGAAACTCAAGTGTGGTACTGTAAACATAGTCAAATACACATGATTGGAGAGGTCATAGATCTTAGAGAAAACCCCAAGACTGTTACATCCCTAGACTAATATTTCGTTCTATGAGTAAAATACATATCCTTGTATTTACAGACTAATATCCCAGTCACCACTCATCAAAGAAGCTTCTTTTGCACCACACAGAGACTATTACAGAATACCACAACTGGTCATGCACAGGCATTATCTATGAATTGCCCAGGCCTAAGTGGCACATGTTACAACCTCTTAGGTGCAACCTCTATACCTAAAGCTCACAGAACATAGAACAAGGGGTAAAGAGGACACTATGAATCTCTCAATTCTCATTAATGAAGCTCTCTCATGCAACAGAGGGCCAGGAACACAAAAGGTCATAAATGGCCAAAGCATAGGGATTAAGAATCTGCAGAATGTTGGTCCTTGGACAGGATTTCTGTATTAAACTTCACCCATCCAGGGCTCAGGGACCATTGCAGAAGAGGGGCCAGAAAGACTGTAAGAGCCAGGGAGGAGGTGCAGGACCATATGGAAATAGAGTCCTACAAGCTCCTGGAACCCTGCTTATATGAACCTACAGCAATCGTGTCATCATACACAAGACCCATGCAAACTAAAGTAGACAAAAACCCAGCATAGAACTGGGGAAATGGACAGCAAACCCCAATCTTAGCTAAAGAAATACTGGCAATTGATTACTGCTAGGTGAGGAAGAGCTGATCTTCCTAAAGTGAGGGACTCTAGATAGGCTGACTAGACCTCAGTAGATAAACTTGCACCAAGGTACATCTGGGGACACTAGACACAATAGGCCTTACCTTTACAAATGACAGAATGTATGAATTCCAGTAGGGGAGGAGGGGTTTGGGAGGGTGCCCATGGGGAAGAGGGTATAAAGATGATTAAGATTGATTGAGATGTTCTATAGGAAATACACAAAAATTCAATTTAAAAAATTTTAAAAATCTTTCTAAGCCTATGCTTCCAAAATTATTTAACTAAATATAAAAGAGAAATGTCAAATGACAGCAGCAGAAATGATTTAAGACTTCATATTAACCAATATAAAACACAGTACCTTTACCACTGTATTCACAAGGAGGAGCAGAAGTTCATGATTTTCATGTAGAAATAAAGAAACAGCCAAATAACCTATTAAAAATAAAGGGGAAAGTTTTCATTACTACCTATGCCTCAAAAAGAGCTTTCCTGATAAGTTAAACTAGGCAATAGTATATTCCAAGTTTTAGTGTCAAACATATCAGTTACAGGTAAACAGAAAAACAAACTATAAATACAAGGTTAAAAAACTTCACCAGGGAAGACTTTTCAGGTGTTCGTCCTGAATTTTTTCAGAATTATGCATTTCATAGGATATATACCAAATTAAATCCCTGTGAATGACATTAAGAAAATATCTTCTATCTTTAGTGCGAATCCCTGCATTATCAATCAGAACATTTTCTATCTTCAAGTCAAACATACAATTATTCAAAAACTTAATTATTATAGTTAATAAATCAGTTATTTGCATTATTGCATGAGCTACCAAAACTAGCCAATATGGTATATCGTATATTAATCATACCTTATTTCCTGAATTTGAAGATATACTGTTGAAGGAGTGACAGCTGTTGAGGACAGAACACTGTCTACCATATTAAATGTACTCACTGGCTTAAATAAGCATTTCTACTTCAAAATTGTATTTTAGGATTGAGGAACATATTAGTAGAAATCCATGATCATGAAATCCACACGCTTCATGGTATTTTTGGTCACTTTTCATATTGGAAATGATATTCATTCATTACTATAAGTCAAGTACTTTATAAGCTTTGCCTCATTTAATTCTCCAAACAACTGTATGGGGAAGGTATTATTACTAGACCAGTGTGGCAATGGGGTCAAAGAGAGCTAAACACCCAAAGTCTACAAATGTTACCTGGTGGAACCAGGATGCAAACCTGTCAGTCCCCATGTACTGTCTATGTACTGTCTATCTCAGGCCTGACCACCCTGCACTTTCATTCCTATTACTCTTAACTCTTCCATTCTTTCAGCCCTTTCGTTAGGAATACAAATGTAAGCCATCCTTACCCAGGATCCATCAGACAAAATGAGAGCCATTTAGAAACTTCACATAGCCGAGAAAGAACAGCAACTTCACTGACAATGGCGCAAAGCTGCTACTCCCATCATCACAAAGAAGAAAAGGCTGACCAGGGCCACGGGCACTTAAAGCAGAGACTAAATCTTACCAGACTGCTGAGGACTCACCTGTTCAGCTAAGGTATAACCCACACCCAAGTCACCACGCCCAACCTTAAACTAAATTCAAAGGCCATCTCAAGAAAACCTTAATTCTATGTTTTTATAAAAAGAAAAAAAAAATCTTGTTTTAACTGGAGAACAAAGATAAAGATATTCTGTGATTGAACAAATGAATGTAACAAAGAAAAACCAACACGATTGCAGCATTTATTTGATATGACTAAGACTGAGGTATCAGGCTGGGGACATAGCTCAGTTGGTAAAGTGCTTGCCTAGCACACATGAAACCTTAGATTCAAGTGAATAAAACAAAGCATGCTGGTGGATACCTATGATCCAAGTACATGAGCTAATACTAAATGAAGCCAGTCTAAACTGCATGAAACCTGTCTCAGAAAAAAAAAAAAAAAAGAGCTAAAAGAGGTACAAGATAAAAATACAGAAATTTGAGTTCAAATTCTGGCTCAGAAATTTGAGTTCAAATACTAGCTATATGACCTTGGATAATTGACTTGACCCTTCTAAACTTTGGTTTTCTTATTTTTTCTTTATTCTTTTTATGTGTGTGTTTTGCCTGCATCTATATATATGCACCATATTTGTGCCTGCAGAATCCACAAGTGTTGGATCCCATGTGTGATGGTTTGAATGAAAATGTCCCCCATAGGCTCCAAGTATTTGGACATTTTGTCCCCAGATGGTGGTGCTGTTTTGGGGGGTTTTAGAAAGTGTGGCTATCCTGGAGGAAGCACGTCACTGGGGGTGGGCTTAGAGAGTTCTTAAGCCTTGTCGGATCTCCAGTCGCTCTTTTGCTTCCTGTGCCTGTGTAATGATGTGAGAGCTTAGCTTCTGCTGCTCCGCTCCAGACACCTCCAGCCACCATGCCTCCCTGCCATGATGGACTGTGATTCCCCTGGAACTGTAAACTCAAATAAACTCTTCCTTCTATAAATTGCTTTGGTCAGTGTTTCTATCACAGCAACAGAAAAGTACCTAATACAGTAATTGGTACCAAGGGTGGGGTGTTGACTGTGAAGAACCTGACCATGTTGGGTTTTTGGAGGAATGTGGAAGACTTTGGAAGTTTGGGCTAGAAAAGCAGTTGATTGCTGGAAGCAGAGCTTAACAGGCCATTCTAGTAAATGCCTGAAAGAAAGCAGTACTGAGAACTGTTGTGGAAAATCTTGTGACTGATTTTGCCTTTTGCCTTACATACCTATCATGCTGGAATGCATTGTTTCTAATGGGGCAACTGGACCACTAGAGTGTAATAGGATGTTAGTCTGCCATGCTAATAAGGGATCCCAAATGCTGTGCTGTGATTGGACAATTTGGCCCACTAGATTGTAATAGGATCCTAGTCTGCCATGCTAATAAGGGATACCATATGCTGTGTTATGATTGGACTATTACCCCTATATAAGCCCGTACTTTCCTGCAATAAAGCAGATCTGTGTCACTGAACCTGGTCTCCTGCGTCTGAATGCGGCGACGCTGGCGCAGACTCCTCACCAGGCCTGGGGTCTGGACCGGAGGACTGATCAGAGGAACTGAGAGAGCAGGAGAGCGACCATAGCCAGAGGAGAGCAGCCACAGCCGGCAACCACAGAGAACAATGTAGTTCCAGAGGGAAATAAGGACATAAGCAGCACTTGGGATATTTTGGCAAAAAGTATGGTTGGAGTCTGCCCACAGCCAAAAAGCTTGTCTTAGGCTAAACTGAAAAGCTATGGACTAATTTCTCTGGCAGAAGAAATTTCAAGACAGCATAACATAGAAATGGTGGCATGGCTATTAATGGTGAATATTATACAGATTTACAGTGAAAAAGAGCAAATGGGGCAGAAAGGAATACAAAATGTACAGGATGGATTGAGAAATAGTGGTAGGAAGATTAATGGAGCCCTGGAATGTGATGGAGAGGATTCCATTGATAAGGAGATTAAAGTGATTAAGGAGGGGCCTAGAGATTTGGACTTAAACAATGGAAAGAGAGCGCCTCCACGGAAAGACCACACTTGAACAAACAAAGCAAAATGCTGAGGGACCACTGAAGACAAAACCTTCAAAAATGGACAAAGCAGGCTCGAGTCCATCCCAAACTCGCAGTCAAACTTGGCACTGTTATTTACCTGGTTCTGGCTTTAGAGGCATGAAAGATGCAAGAGTGAAGGGGTCATCAATTCTTCCTCTATGGTTTCAGAGAGCCACTGGGGCCAAGGGTTTCCCTGCATAGGGAAGGCCCTGGTAGGCCATTGTGTGAAGCTGTGAAAGTGAAGCCTGGTTGGCAGTGGGGACCCAAAAAAGTTTGTCATGCCAGAGCTATGAGGCATCTGCCAAGAAGACCTGCATACAAGGAGTGGTACCAGCAGAAGAGAGAGATGTGTGTTGCACAGAGCAAAGCTGGAGAGGCTGAGCCATCTAAACCCTTTGGAAGTAAAGTCCCAGAAGTCAGACATGGAGTTAATGGATTTGGTGTTTGCCCTGCTGGTTTTCAGTCTTGTTTTGGTCCAGTATTTCCTCACTATGCCTCCATTCCTCCCTTTTGGAATGGTGATGTGTATTCAGTTCCACTATATGTTGGGAGTATGTAATTTGTCTTTTGAGTTTATAGAGGCTTACAGTTCAGGTATTTACCTGAGTCTCAGAATAGACTTTGGACTGTGGATTTTTGAATAATATTGAGAATGACAATGACTATGGGGACTTTTAAAGTTGGACTAAATGCATTTTGCATCTTATATGGTTATGAGTCTACAGGGGTCAGGGAATGGAATGTGATGGTTTGAATGAAAATGTCCCCCATAGGCTCCAAGTATTTGGACATTTTGTCCCCAGATAGTGGCGCTGTTTTGGGAGGTTTTAGAAGGTGTGGCTATCCTGGAGGAAGCACATCACTGGGGATGGCCTTACAGAGT